GGCAAAGTATAAACTAAAGTGAGTACACCATAGTGTACATGTAGCAACGTTCTCACCGATTGAACTTTGTTATTTGTACACTGATTTTTCACACGTTGTTTGACACTTGCATTGTTGTTAAGTGTCAATTGGATAGGAAAACTGTTTGAAATTTAAACCATCCAATAGGGTAATGTCACGTGGTAAAGTGTAAACTAAAGTGTTCTCTATAGTGTACATGTAGCAAGGTTCTTACCGATTGAATTTTGCTATTTGTATACTGATTTTGGACACGTTGTTTGACACTTGCATTGTTGTCAAGTGTCAATTGGATGGGAAACTATTTGAAATTTAAACTGTCCAATAGGGTAATGTCACGTGGCAAAGTGTAAAATAAAGTGTACACCAAAATGTACATGTAGCAAGGTTCTTACAGATTGAATTTGGCTACTTATACACTGATTTTCGACACGTTGTTTGGCACTTGCATTGTTGTCAAGTGTCAATTGGAAGGAAAACTATTTGAAATTTAAACTGTCCAACATGATAATGACACGTAGCAAAGTGTAAACTAAAGTGTACACCGTAGTATACTTGTCGCAAGGTTCTTGTCGATTGAAATTTGCTATTTGCACACTGATTTTTGACACGTTGATTTACACTTGCATTGTTGTCAAAGATCAATTGAATGAGAAAACTGTTTGAAATTTAAACTGTCCAACAGGGTAATATCACGTGGTAAAGCGTAAACTAAAGTGAGTACACCATAGTGTACATGTAGCAACGTTATTACCGTTTGAACTTTGCTATTTGTACACTGATTTTTGATACGTTGTTTGACACTTGCGTTGTTGTTAAGTGTCAATTGGATGGGAAAACTGTTTGAAATTTAAACTGTCCAATAGGAAAATGTCATGTGGCAAAATGTAAACTAGAGTGTACATCGTAGTGTACATGTAGCAAGGTTCTTACCGATTGAACTTTGCTATTTGTACATTGATTTTTGACACGTTGTTTGGCACTTGCATTGTTGTTAAGTGTCAACTGGATGAGAAAACTATTTGAAATTTTAATTGTCTAACTGGGTAATGTCACATGGCAAAGTGTAAACTAAAGTATACACCATAGTGTACATGTTGCAAGGTTCTTACCGATTGAATTTTGCTATTTGTACACTGATTTTTGACACGTTGGTTGACACTTGCATTGTTGTCAAGTGTCAATTGGATAGAAAAATTGTTTGAAATTTAAACTGTCCAACAGGGTAATGTCACGTGGTAAATTATAAACTAAAGTATACAACATGATGTACATGTAGCAAGGTTCTTACCGATTGAACTTTGTAATTTGTCCACTGATTTTTGACATGTTGATTGACACTTGCATTGTTATCAAGTGTCAATTGGATGGGAAAACTGTTTGAAATTTAAACTATCCAACAAGGTAATGACACGTGCCAGAATGTAAACTAAAGTGTACACCATAATGTACATGTAGCAAGGTTCTCACCGATTGAACTTTACTATTTGTACGCTGATTTTTGACACGTTGTTTGACACTTTCATTGTTGTTAAGTGCCAATTGGATCGAGAAATTATTTGAAATTTAAACTATCCAACAAGGTTATGTCACGTGGCAAAGTGTAAAATAAAAAGTACACCATAGTGTACATGTAGTAAGGTCCTTACAGATTGAACATGGCTACTTATACATTGATTTTCGACACGTTGTTTGACTCTTTCATTGTTGTTAAGTGTCAATTGGAAGGGAAAATTATTTGAAATTTAAACTATCCAACACGGTAATGTCATGTGACAAAGTGTAAACTAAAGTGTACACCGTAGAGTACTTTTCGCAAGGTTCTTATCGATTGAACTTTGCTACTTGTACACTGATTTTTAACACATTGATTTACACTTACATTGTTGTCAAGTATCAATTGGATGGGAAAATTATTTGAAATTTAAACTATCCAACAGGATAATGTCACGTGGCAAAGTGTAAATTAAAGTGTACACCATTGTTTACATGTAGCAAGGTGCTTATTGATTGAATTTTGCTACTTGTACACTCATTTTTGACACGTTATTGGACACTTGCATTGTTGTCAAGTGTCAATTGGATGGAAAAACTGTTTGAAATTTAAATTGTCCAACATGGTGTCAAAAGCAATAAATTGGGTGTTATATTGAAGCATGAAATTACTTAGTCGTCATGAAGATTTTAGAATTTTCAGAAATTCAATTGTGTCATAGAAATTTCATTGGTTTTTTTGGATCTCGGATTCAAAAAATTCCAGAAAACTTTCATTCAATAACGTAACCTTAATTTTGATCTCTGTATATATAAAAAAAAAATTGATCTATATTTTATGTATTTATTTTAGGAATCACATCTACTAAAAAAATTAAGTAGATTAAATGAAATTAAATTGTTGTATTGAGAGCTAGTGAAAAAAAAATTTGTAACTCCGTAATTACAGAGGTATTTGGCTCAAAAGTGTTGAGCCTCCATTATTATGGAGGCTCATGCTAAGCCTCATAACAAATTATTTTATAAAATTAATAAGAATTTAATTATTTTCTATTTTTTAGTATTATTGCATTTCACCTTCCAAAAAAAATAAAAAATAAATCATAAAAACATATGACTTTATAAAAATTATATTTGATAGATTATGTAATTTTGAAACACAATCTAAGATATTAAGATTAGAATCATTTCACGATAAAAATGAAATGGTAATAAAAACTCATTTCTCGAAAAATAAATATATTAATTTGTTAACATGTTTGGTCTTCATTTTTTAAAATTTATTTTTCTTCAAACATATTTTCAATCATAATATATGGAATTCACACTTTTACTCTTGAATTAACTCCTTCAATAAATTATTATTTAAACGATTTATAAACATTTTGATTGATATTATTTTTTGGTCATCCAAATGGTTACTATATACATTTTATGTACATATATAAAAGTAATGTTTTTATTTAAACTTACTTATGTGCTCAAAAATAAATTTTCTAAAGCTACATGGTTATAGCATAAGAAAATGGTAAAAAAGATAGTGTGGAAAAATAGAGAAACATGATTGTAGCGTGTAAAAATGAAGAAAGAGTAAGCCTCCATTATTTTATGTATTTATTTTAGGAATATTAAAAAAATTAAGTTGATTAAATTAAATTAAATTATTGTACCGAAAGGCAATGAAAGAAAAAGAAAGTAAAAAAAAATGCACTTTGGAGCTTCCGTAATTACGGAGGCTCATGCTTGAGATTATGGAGGCTCCATAAAACCTCCATATTATGGAGGAAAGCCTCCATAATATTTTTTTATTTTTTTTAATATATACTAAAATTATTTTTTTTTTTTAATATTGTTGGCATGATGCGTATGTAGAAAAATATTTGTCAATCACTATAAACAAAATTTTTAACAAAATGTAAAAAATAAAAATGCGCTAATAAAATTACAATATTTTTTTTTACAAATAACATTAAAAAAATCATTTTTATTTTCAACAAAAAACACATTTAAAAATTAGCAATTTTATAACCACTTTTTTTTTTAAATTTTCAGAAACACAATTATAAAAAAGGAAATAATATTGAATTACAACATTTAATACTTAAGAAATTCAATATTAAATAAATTTTATACATTTATAATAAAATATAAATCCATATATACAGCTTACCGTATTTGCAGGCAATTTACCGTATATGCAACTTACCGTATTTTCACATTACCGTATATGCTGTCTACCGTATTTGCAGCTTACTGTATTTTTATATACCGATTTTTACACTTACAAATACCGAGAATGTAGAACGCCGTACATTTATTTACCAAACCGAATTTCAAAAAAATTTCCAAAATTTTATTTTTTCAACATAAACATAAAATAAAAATTAAATATATATGAAGCACAAAATATAAATACATATGAATATGGTGCCGAGAGAAATTAGTATCGTAGTTTTACGTTACAAATAATTTTTTTCAATTTAAAATTTTTTTTAATTCTTTTCCCTTCAAATTTTTTACTTACAAGTAATTTTTTGTAAAATATTTTTTGTCTTAGACTATCTTTATTTTTTAATTTTTTGGGAGGTATGAAAATTGTGTGTTGCAGTGTTTTCTTACAGTATAAATATTTTTTAATTAAAATTGAAAAAATTAAGTCTTTTCATAAAGAAAAAAATTAAAAAGTATTTTAAATCGAAAAAAAATTATAATATGAACAAAACAAATAAAAAATAAATAAATAAGGAAAAAAATTAAAAAAAAAAAAAAAAAGAAATCTTCATGCATCCTGTGCTAATGTAATGAACCAAACGATTAGACTTCACCAAATACTTCAAATCTTCAACCAATTTTGAAAATCTACAATTTTGACGCTAATAAAAATACAATAAATATAAAACTCGTGCAACGCACGTGTTAAAGACTAGTAATATATAGATGTGAAGCAAATGAGTCAATGGAATGTAACCACTGATGTTTTAGCAATATTACTTACATTTTGATGGCTTGTATACATTGGTAAATGAATTTAATTAGATAACTTCTTATTTGTTTATTTTTAAATTGAATTATGTTATTCTATAAGAGTTTATATTGAACATATCATTGATTAGATTAATGTAGTGTTGTTATAAAATGTTAAAAATTTAATTATGGTACGGATTAGAGTCGTTGTCATAATTAAATTTAGTCTGGACAATTTTACTTAATAAATTACCTATAAATTTTGGAGCCGAACTAAACCTAACCGAATCAAACCATCTTCAGGCCTAGAAATGATCGTTTGCTCAGAAAAAACAATAGCCCTTGTTTGTCATCCATTATTTGAAAAATTTAAAAGTTTTGAATATTATTTTTTGAAGAATATGTGGTTAAATATAAGAAAATTTTATTGATTTGTGTGAATTTGTGGTGAAAAATGATACTATAGCAAATAATTTAAGATTCTAAAGGATGACAAACAGGCGAAGGACCAATAAAAAGGATTGAAACCGCACACTGGCCATCGGTTAGGGACCATTTATGCAGAAATCCCAAAACCAGAGGCTTTAAGAAATCTCTCTCTTGATCGGAGAGTCGACGATTCCACCGGTTTGCACATAATCGATGGAGTACTATTCTTCTTCACAGTTTCCCCTCTCCTATTGGGACTATTTCATATTTATCTTCCTTAGACCCGTTCTTGCCGTCTCTTTTGCCCTCTCCTTACTCTTCATCGGTTTGTTTCTCTCTCTGTGGCATGTATGCGCGTAAATACGAATTAGTTTGTATTATATGTATCTGTAGTTTCTTGATTGAAATTGCTATTAAATTTTCATTTACGGAATTATCTTGATACTCCTGGTTTGGGTTTCATGTATTATAACTTCTTGATATGGGTTCCTGAACTGTCATCAAATCAGTGATTTTTTTCAATGTTTCTTATCTGGATTGTTGAATTATTTACTAGCGAAGTACTTTTATTGTTATTTCTTGCTCTGGGTAGTATAAATTAGGTCAAATATTTACACTGTTGATGTTTCATGATCTAAAAGCAGGGCCTATTTCTTGAACTTTTTTGGATGCTTCTTGATCTGTGTTGCTGAATATATGTTTAATTTGATAATTTTTCCCCTTCCCATGTGTAGGTTGGTTTTTGGCCTGGAAGCTAGTGCTGGTGCACGTACCTCTGGTTCAAGAGATTTTTGGTCTGCGGAAAAAAACTTTTAAGCCAAAGCCTGCGAATCGAGGCCGCTTCACACGATATTACAACACTAAAAACGCCCAGAATTCCTCTTAGTGGTGAAGTTTCATTCTTTCCAAATATGTGAATTTATTTATTTCTGTTGGGCTGAAATTATATCAGAGGGTTATTTAATTTCTTTTGTTCCGCTGAGGTGAGAGTCGATATACATTTATTTTTGCTATGTGATACATGCAACCCTAAATAGACTAGATGTATGTAGATAGTATGTAACTCAGGGAGATGATATTACATAGCATATATAAAAATAAACACGCTGGTTTCGCACCTTTAGTTAATGTCTATAGCTGATGCTATACATTTGTTTAAAGTCAGTTGCTGGATTTTTCCAATTAGGAGATAGCATTCTTTTACATCTACAATTATATGATTGGTCCTAGTTCATGATCAAAACATTTAAGTGTCAGAAGATGTGTTCAATGAAAACCTATAATGCGATGGAGCAGTGTAACAGATTCCGACCCCAATCTATATTAGTGGAATCATGTAGAGGTGACGTGTAATAAAGAACTATTCTACTCTTAACAAAGACACCTGTAGATTGGAAGTAACAATCAATTATATTTTGGGAAGTGTAATTGCTCATTTACATGGAGGAGTTGTAGCATAATTCTTGCAAAATCACTTTAAAGATCGGCTTTTGTGTCTCACGAGGACATTTCTCCTCAACGTATCAAAGAATTGAGATGGTGCTTAAATATCTGATTGGTATGAATGGGGGAATGTAATCAATGTTTGTCAAGAAGCTTCGTATCATTGTGAAGGATGCAGTATGTGGGGAGGGGGAAGTAGATTACCGGGTGATGAATGGTCACATGATAATGGTGATTTACAACATGCTTGACTAAGCTCATAAAGTTTTCTTATAAGAGAATAAGTTCTAAATAAATATGTTGTTATTGATTAAAGTTGAGAATAAGCTACTTATTTCTATAGTAAGTAGTTGCTTATTTTTAAAACTTACCCAAAAATGGACTTAGTTATTTGGGAAGTTTTTTTTTGTTTTTTTTTTTTTTTTTTTTTTTTTTTTTTTTTTTTTTTTTTTTTTTAATGACTGTGGGAGTTCGAGCCAGCTTACGCACACCTCAGCTAATGCCACGGGGTTCTGAAATTTACAGTCGAGTATTTATCTCAGTGACCCTAAGGGGACTTGAACTGGTGACCATTGGGGAGCAAGGCCAAGGCTTGGACAGTGTGTTGAATGGTAATATGAAGAGATTAGATGATGCAGATAATTAGGTTGGTAGCCCTGTAATTTGAATGAGAGGGAATTGGGACCAGGTTGTGCTCAGAACCAACTCAAATAGTTTGAGTTAAACATTTCAGACCTAATTCCCTCACCACTATACAAGAATGATGTGATAGAGATCCTTAGAGATATTATCGAAGACTTGCCATAAACTAGATATTCACTTCGTGCTGGAAAATAAGAAATAATTTAGGAAGTTTTTTTGATTGATTTTCGTTATCTCTTTCCATAGTTATAAGTTTTGAATTATTAGTTTCATTGTTTTCTTCTCCCCCCAAGATTCTATTCTTCTCCCCTCTTCCTTCCCCCTTCTTCTGTTACCAGAAGTAGTCTCTCTCTCTCTTTTTTTTTTTTTAATAATAAAAAACCGCATGACATCATCCTTCGCCCTTCTCACTTCTTTCCAGTCTTCTGCCCTATATTCATAAGCTTTATGTACCTTTCTGCATCATGATGTTGATTGTGTAGCTTATGACCGTAGGAATAACCATTTTGCTACTTAAGGTCGTTGACAAATAGTGCATGTTTGGCTAAGCTTAAAAAATACATTGTAAGTAACTAAACTTGCTTTAAATAAAATGATTTTTCTTGCTCAATGTTGGAAATAAGTTACTTAGTTTGACAATAACACCCTACAGTACTAGCAAAATAAGAAAACAACATTTACCTAAAAAAAAAAAAAAAGAAAAGAAAAAAAAAAGAAAGAAAAAAGAAAACAACATGGATCTTGCTATATGTACATGAAGTTTTATATAATGGATTACATAATGACACGTCACTCTACCATTTGTCAGTTTAAAATACAGTCAATTTTTTCATCCAACCTTTTCTCCCACATCATTTTATGTAATCCTTTATGTAAAAATAGCATAATCCTAACAACATATACTATAAAACTTTCAAGTTTTAGCCAAACATGTTGGTGGTGTACATTCCTTACATGTTTCTTGTGAAAATTTAAATTCTCATCTTAGAGCATGATCTATTGAATCAAAGAGTATTGGAGCTTGTTTCAATGTGTTGTAGTATATGATGTTGCTGTTATCTTTTGCATCATGCAGAATTTTAGCGAGAATGCTGCCATTACAGAAAATGGTTGCTATGTTTGAATCAATAAAAGAAATAATAAAGATCTGTAATGAGACTTTATTCCATTTTTATCGAGGACTGATTCTTGATGATGCATCTCTAACATGTATGAAGTTAGAGTTCCCTTGAATTGTCCTGAGGTCGTGATTTACTTTTGTGGTGCAGAGGATCATAATTATAGAAGCTTTGGAGAATCTCACGACTCACAGTCAAGACACTGGGCAATATGGTCGAAGATTGCAAATTTAGCAGGTTTACTGTACATAAAGTAGTTGGTAAGTTCAATTGTTCAACTCGTTCCGAGACATTTATCTGTAAAATAATTATGCTGGTTATATATTTCCCAATCATATCCCAGTGTACTGATTAAAATCTTCGGTATTCTTGTGATTATTTTTTCCTAATTTTTCTGTAATCAATAAGAACAAATGTTTGTAAACTGCTAATAGTTTGAATGATAACTTGATTTTCATTCTGATCTTCAACGAGTACTTTTGTTGGACGCTCCTTTTACCAGTCGAGGAATGAAGTTCAATATCATGGTGTGGCTTTGCTTGCTTTCTTTATGTGGTTGGATACGGAGCTAACTAATAGGATGATTTTTCTACAGAGTTTATGGCTCATTTGGTATGGCTTTTGCTTCTTCTAAAAGAGCTTTTGAAAGAAGTTATCTTAATTTTAATTTGAAAACTAATTTTTAAAAGCACTTTCTATTTCAAAAGTGCTTTTAGAGGAAGTCGTATCGGACTAGCTTCCTCTAGAAGCTCTTTTAATTGCCAGAAGCGATTTCATAAAATTAACCAAACAAGTTTAAGCTCTAGTTTGGCTCTCATTAATTACCATTTCATTATATTTTATTTTTCTCTTTCTTATTTTCAACCACACAATTTTTCATAAAATATTTTTTTTTTAAACCACTCATTTTTCAAAAAAACACTATTTTACCTATTTTCTTTTCCACAAAATGAGGGCCAAACGGTAATTAAATTTAACTTTGGGGTCTCAAAAGCTCCCTCTGGTTTTTTTTAAAATTCATGCCAAACAGGCCTTTAGTCATGTAGTTGAATCCTATGTAAAAATAATTAGAAGCAGTGGAAAATGACACGTGGTACAAATGGACTATTAACAAATATTTTTTTCTCATTTGTTGAAGTTATGTGAATTGATATTTTAAATGAGTAATGCTAGTTATCTAAATTCATGAGTATTGATGATCGTGCTTTTCATTTAGCCCTTGTTTGAGCTCCATTTTTTCAAAAATTCATTTTTAACTACACCAAATAACCATTGATTAGTCACAATTTTCAACAATTTGGTCACATATTCACAATTTAATTAGTCACGTATTATTATTTGATCACAAATAAAAAAAATTAATATCACAAATTATTTTACGATCACAATTCAACACTTTCGTAGATCACAATTTGTTCGTCGGTCACAATTTATTTATAGGTTACAGATCGCAAATATTTTATGTCACAATTTAATAAACAGTTATAAATTATTAATTTTTTAAGTCACATATTATTTTTTGTCACAATTTATTTTCTTATTGATCACAGATTAACCAATTTAATTGTCATAATCAACCAGTTAATCTGTAACCACCACCAAATAACCATTGCCTCCAATATCACCGCCAAAACCATCACCCTATAGCAACACCACTGTCTCAAACAAAATCAACACACCTACCTCCAGCGATTATCCATAGCCAGGAATTGAATAATTGAGAGAAAGATATTGTGATGATAAAAAAAGTGAGTAGCAAAACAAGACAGAAATTGTCCAGTTATCATTATGAAGAAAGCCAATTGTTGGTTATTAAGGAATGACATTCTTCATGAAAGTGCCTTCCCTTTTAAGGATAGGTTGTGCAATTCAGAAACTGGGAAAAGAGGTTGAGAGTACTTTGCTTGAGACCACGATCACCAACATCTCACCGTCACCACCACACCCACTAACACAACTATTGCTATCCTACCGCTGGCTACCATCGTCACCCTCTTAACAAACAAAAACCACCACAACAACCGCACCCAAACACCACCAAAATACCAACTCCAACATTATCACCGCTACCACCAACACCACTGTTTGTCACCACCACCACCTCACCATCACGGCAAATCAACTATAGAACTCCACAAATCTACCACACCACAACCATAAATCCACTACGTCGCCATTGCCTTTACGACTGCAACCACTATCACAATCGATCCAAAGGTATAGCCATCGACGATGGTGACAGATCGTTGTGATGCGAGCGACATGCGCGCTGTAGTGCGACGGCACACTCTAGATCGTTGTCGAAGTAGATGAGGCCACAGATCGCTGCTAGTCACTGCTGGGAACGTTGCGCTCAACTCCACCAGTTTGAAGGACGGCCACTCCTTTGACGTCGGAGTTGTGTTATTGGGGAAGGGTTAAGAGAGAGAGGGTGAGGAGTCAGCAAGTTTCTTTTTCATCAGGGAGGCACCAGTTGTTTGAAGGTAGAATGGAGAACTGCGAGAGAAAGAATTAGGGTTTGTGAGTAAAAATATTAATTAAAATAAAATTTCTGATTTTTGAAATGTTAAACTTCCCCCTGATTTTAGAATTCAAGATTTTAATAGTTTTGTGTAATTTCCACTTATTTTTATTTTTAATATTTGGACCTGTCTCCAAAATTGTAGAGCTAATTGTCTCGATAGTCACTGAACTTATATTCGCATATTTGATTACTCATTGAAAATTAAAATGTCGAAATTTAACCACTAAACTTGCTCAAACGTTGTCTATTACTCATTGAATTAACTTTTGTTTGTAAACCCCTAACGACAGTGGTGGCTTGGCTTACGAGAATGTCCATGTGATGCCACCTCACCATTGTTTAACCAATAATGAAGATTACATATGCCACCTAAGAAACGCATTTTAAAAACAAGTTTTATGATTTGTGGTTAAAAAAAAAATCCAAAAACATCCATTTATTTCAAACGCATATTCATTCTTGAGTTCCAAGAATGAATTCCAAAAAGCCCCCAAATAAGCCATTTAGGGCATCTCCAATGCTTACCCCCAAAACACCAAAATGCTGAAAAAAAAAAAAAAAAAAAATAATAATAATAATAATAATAATAAATGGTGCAAAACACATCCAATGTAACACCAAACTTTGCAATGGGAATAGTGTTGCACCATATTTGGTGCAACACTATTTACTTTGTACCAAAATGGTGCAGTGTCTAAAGTCATTTTTACCCTTTATTTTCCTTTTTCCAAATAAATTGTTTAAAGGTATTTGTGTCATTTGTACTATATATTTTTTAATACAACAAATTATTATTATTATTATTATTTGCATTTAAAATAAATTCTAAATGTAAAAAATAATAATTAATAAATTAATTAAAAGAAGGAAAAAATTAAAATAAAACAAACACGATTTATTAATGAGTTTAATATTTAACGTAATTATTTATTTAGTAATTTATGTATTTATAAAATAATTAAATAAATAATATTTCAAATAAATATATTATAAAGAATAAAAAAAAGGAAGAAAATGGTTAAACACTGTTCATTTGGTGTAATTTTTGGAGTAATGGTTGGAGATGAATTTTAGTTTGGTACAAAATTTGGTGCAGTGCTGGAGATAGCCTTACAAGCCCTTGGCCCAAATTCCCCAAATTCTTCCTCCCCAAATCCTACCTAATCCATTGAAGAAGAGAAGGCGGACTCTATCGCACAGTGCAGTGTCAGATACAGTTCAAACTTACATTTTTTATATCATTATTACTTCCTTTTGAATCTGCAGTACTCACTAGATCTCTGCCTCATGTTGTTTGGTTGCTTGGCTATTTCGATAGCTGGAATCTAGAGAATTTGTAATGATTTTCAGCTTGTTCATTGATGTGTTGGTGTTCATTCATTTATTATTTTACTATGTATATATGTATTTGTTTTAGTTTTATGTAAACAAATTGGCGGTACTTCTATTCATCCACAGTTTGAAGCCCTTGAATTTTTGACTTGCCTAAAAGTTTTGCCTCTTTGCCCTCTAATCTATGTCAAAGTTTTGCCTCTTTTATGTAAATTATTGGCAGTACTTTTGTTCATCCATGGTACATAAAAGTTTTGCCTCTTTACCTCTTCAAAATGTGATTGATGATTTATTTTTGGTTGCTGAACATCAATTCTGTATGAGGCATACATATCAAAACTTTTTCAAAGCAGGTTTCAAATATAGAATTTTGAGGGCAACAACATTGCGGATTATTTGATGTGGATGTAACAAATCAGACACTTGTCTAAAAAAGCACACGGTTGATTGATGAAAAGGGATCCATGGGAATGGAGCAAGTATCACTTTTAGGATATAGTGAAGAGTGACATTGTTTTGAATAATGGCCACGAGATTTTCAATAAGACATTGGTGGATGATAGAGAGAAATCAATACTTACAACGCCATTCAACTTACCTTCATGAAGATTCTACAGGGAAGAAGGGATAAGATTAGGGCCTACAAAGGGACCCTATGTCCTAAGATCAAAAGAAAATTGGCGAAGAATACCGAGTTGGTAAATGGATGAGACATTGATTGGTCTAGAAGACCAAAGTTTCAAGTGAAGAGCGCAAGCGAGCAATACGTGATTGACTTGAAACAACGTACATGTGCATGTCGATGGTGGGAACTAACAAAGATCCCATGTTGTCACACAGTTGCAGTTATTATAGACACAAGAATTCAGCCAGAGGATTATCTGGATAGCTTCTATTCAGTGGAGACATACCTTGCTTGCTACGAAAACATACTTAGCCCTATGAACGGGTTTTCTTTGTGGCGAATTGTGGATGCTCATCCAATCGAAGTTCCTAATTGGGTGAAAAACAAAGGGGAGAGGGAGGGAGAGAGAGAGAGAGAGAGAGAGAGAGAAGGAAGGGGGTTGAAGAAGATTATATTGAACATCAACAAGGAAAGTCTAAAACTATTAAAAAAGGGGACAATGCAAAATGCATGTTGTGTCTGTAGCAGGCAAGGGCATAACAAAAGATACCATGCAAGGGTCGATGCTCTAGTTTTTGTAAGTTTGGTCAACCATTTCTTCCTCCCTTCTTATCATTACTTTTTCCATTTAGGAGTGGTTCAACACACCCCTGGAGCTAGTTTGTTCTGAAAGAGAGCAGACTCGGGCCGCTAGAAGAAAACTAACTTCGGATAGAGGAAGTGTCGGATAGTCCACCCAATTAGATTGATTTCAACATTCTGGTGGATTTTTTTGGATGGTTGGCAGATGGTTTTCGATGTATTTTTTTGGTTGAATGTAATTAGTAGATGATGGTTTTCGGATGTTTTGGTGTATGGTTTTGGCTAAAAGACATGCTTGCTATTGCATAAATTGGATATTAGTTTACAGGATGAATGTAATTAGTAGATGATAAACTTTGGATACCAACTAAAAGACACGCTTGCTTTTGCATAAATTGGATATTAGTTTACAGGCTAACATTTTTACTTTCCAAATGTCATTCATTTATGGATGTCTGGGGTTGTTGCATAAATTTTGCTGGTAAATGAGACATTTTGGGTGGAAATTTACTTTAACCACAGCTGATCATATTTGTGGTCTAAATTGCACATTGATATTTTATGATTTTTCACGACAATATGAAGTCAAATAAAAGAAAGGACTAAAAATTTCTTTCGAACTATGGACATAAATACAAACCTAACAATATTATTTTAGGAGCACTTATGACCGCATTATCTATATTCATAAGTTTATTGGAGAATTCTTTAACCATGTCTCTTGTCGTCAAGGGTCACAAACGAAAGTTAAGCCAATGAGTAATGTTCAACGTTTGGCTAAGTTCATTGATCAAATTTTGACATTTTAAATTTTATTAAACAATCGAAGACATAGACACAAGATGGGTGCATATTGAATCAATTTTCCTCTCACTAGTCAGAACATTAAAAAATGTGGATCCGAGTCCAAGAATCCCAACCCAAACTCTTCTCCGTGTATTTATTTTTATTTATATTTTTATATATGGATCTGTCTCCAAAATTGTAACCATTGTAATTGCAAAGTTTCTCGANCTCCGTGTATTTATTTTTATTTATATTTTTATATATGGATCTGTCTCCAAAATTGTAACCATTGTAATTGCAAAGTTTCTCGACAAGAGCAGAATCGAAGCACGCCAATATTGAACTGAAACCCGTCGTTCGTTCAGGTTCCGCTATGTCGATGGTGCCTTCCACTGCTGCCGTCTCCGCTTCATCATCATCCCAATATACTTACGCAGCGCCCACGTCCTCCGCCTCCTATTTTCCGACGCCGTTCCACCTCCAACAAACTCCAGCGCCTGTCCCGTACATTGGCGCCGCTCCTCCGCCACCTGTCCCATCTGTGGCTCTACCTGTTTATCCTGCTCCCCCAACCGTTTACTCGTTGCCCCAATATCAACAGGTAAGTTTGCTTTTATGTTTTACTGAAAGTTAGCGTTTTAATGAATATTCAGGAATTCTAGGGTTTCGTTTATTTGTGGAATTCAACTGTAATTTTTAAAATTTTTGGGTCTTTTTCTTAAATCCTTTGAATTTGATTTTGCTAAAAGCTTTTGACTTGTATTTTTAAATCAAATTGAAATACGTGATCATTGATAATTACTGCATTGAAGCGCTACTTGAGGAACTGTTTTATTTTTGTATGTTCAATCAATTTCTTACATATCAGTTGTGTTCTTTTGATAATTTTTGCGGAAGGATTTGTTACAAGGTGGAAAGAAAATAACGTCTTTAATTACTTACCAGGAAAGTTAATGCTATCTGTACATTTGCTGGCAATGTTCATCACTGTTTCTTGTTCTGATGGTGGATGTGGACATGGACAGGCCCAGCAGTTGTTTCAGAGAGATGCACAAACCATAACTCCAGAAGCTCTGGAGAGTGTGAAAGCTGCTCTTGCGAGCAGTGAGATTGAGCACAAAGCAGGGACTAAAAAGAAGGCAATTCCTCGGAAAGCTGCAGGACAATCTTGGGAGGATCCTACTCTTGCTTGCAGAGTGGCCTGAGACTATGATTCTCTCTCTCTCTCTCATGTTCCAAAAGAAACAAATGAAATGAATACTACAACATAGACAAGGAGTAAATAATTCCTCTACTGGAGAACATGAAAAGAGAATCTTGGTCTACGCAAGTGTATAAATGAGGTTCAGACCATTTGCACAGCGGTCATTGTAATGATTCCCATCATGTAAGGCCAATGACAAGCTGAGGAACTTACACCGACCAATAAAGATTAGATGCCCAGCCTTGTACACCCCTTTCTCATTACAGCCCAAGCTCAGGCGGGATATGGCCTACAAGGGGGAACGCCAAGTAAGCAAGTAATTTATTCACAAACAATATTTTATTTCTGTTTCAAAAATATAATTTTAACGCTCTTAGCCTCTTTATGCTGGATTCCAATGGTCAAAAGATAAAGTAATTCTCTGAGTTATGTTGGCTAATTTGTGTTCCAAAAGTGG